AATAAATAAATAAATAAATAAATAAATAAATAAATAAATAAATAAATGCACCCACAGAGACGGACTCACATAGCCACTTATTGGTGGGTACCAGAGAATAGCCAGCGACGTAGATCATGAAGGAAAGAAGATGGCGGCACGATTTGTACTCATATGTAAAGGACTGGCCTAACATTGCGTCAAACAGGGGATGTGGCCTAACATTGCGTCAGAAGTGGGACACTGTAGGCTAATTAAAAAAATCATCACACAAACATACGTAATATATGTTATTTACGACATCAAGTGACAGGGAATAAGTCGTGCGCCTGGTGGTGAGCTACACGCCTACCCATAGCATTTGCAGAGCTTTAAAGCTCAAAGATCTGAGGGGCCCTGTCACCGCGTCTGTCACCTGGAGACATAAGTTGACAAGTCCCATGTGCCTGTAATTTCACCAGCACCATTACCTTTCGGAATCGGAACGCAGTGCAAGTAATGCTTACATTACTGCTTGGCGGCTGAAATAAGTAAGGTGATAGTATTTTCCTGGACGAACTTGTTCACAAGAAGCTCTACTGCTACTACAAATTGCCTGCTTATCGGTATTCTGCAGGATATCACGAAAAGTATGCGAGGGAATTGTATGAATTAATTCCACCTTCCCCTTTTCTAACATTAGGGGATCAGAGTTAGACTGGGGTTCCACGTCTACCATGTCGATATTCCAAAAATTCGCACAAAGCGTTACGTTTCCACATTTATATGGCAAACGGCTATGGAGTGGAATTCCTTGCCTGTAGGTTTATTCCCTGAACGCTGTAACTTGGGCCTTTTTAAGGCGAATGAATACGTATTATTGAGGTGGCTCCATCGTCGACCTCATCGCCACTTTCCATCAAATGAGATGGAGGTCAAATGCGCACTTTTTTTATCACCAAAAAAAACACAAATATACGTGTCATTTCCAATTGACGCATTAGGTTTTTCTACCAACTCTTTGACTCTACGTTTTTTCCGAAGCTAAGAACTTCTTATCCCAAAAACAAAAGCTTTAATTATCACTTTTCCTATTTCCACAGGTAATTGGAACAAACAATATAAAAGGGGGAAACATTTTTACCGGTCCGTTTTCTTAATCTCAAAAGAGTTATTGACTATCACTTTGTTGAACCAACAAATCGCATTGTCTCAATTAATTTGAACAAACAAAAGAGAAACGAGTTTATTGCAAACTAGAGAAATGTTTTGAGAGTGAAACCCTTTGTTATTTGAAAGGTTTTTTTTGCAAATGGACTGAAAGAAATCAGGAAGATTGATTAAGTTAATTTTCTTATTAAGAAATACCGAACCAAAGTAAAGGTGTGGTGTGTTGAAAATAAAGGAACGCTGCGGCCCGCCCGCTTTCATTATTACGACGCTTAGACATCAGTGTGAACTAACCAATATTAATAACTAATAAATATTTATTAGCAATACCATCTCCTTGTGAAGGAGTTCGTCCCTGCCATATTACCTATTTCTGCCACCAAGCAGTAATGTCAGTATTACTGTGTTCCGGTTTTGAAGGGTAGTGCTGGTGAAATTACAGGCACATGGGACTTGTCAACTTGTGTCTCAGAGTGACGTGCGCAATGGCAGTGTCCCTTTAATCTTTGCAGTTTCAAGCTCTGAGTGTCACTGCAACTGCTATGGCCTGCGCGTAGATTACCACCAGGCGCACGATTGGTTCGTCCCATCTCATAGTGTCATAAAAAAAAACATTGTTTTATTTAAAACATTGTACAAAATATAGTACTTTTGATTTTTGAAAATTGTGTTTATTTAAAACATTGTACATCTGTACAAAGTGTTGTAGACAGTCGTCACACATGACACATAAATCATTCATACTTAACGTGACCATACGTCTCACTTTGAGCGGGATAGTCCTGGTTTAAGGTTCGCGTCCCGCTGTCCCCAAAATACGTAACAATGTCCCATTTTGATAAAACAGGGCTTACGTCACAATAAATTTAAAAAAATGGCACGATAGCGAATATTATATAAAGGCAGATTACACAAGATTACTACCCATACTGCCTGTTCTTAAACTCAAAAATATCATTACAAGAATCAACTTCAGAGGCCGAAATTCAGACTGTTTAACTAATTTAACTTAAGACGTCATCATGCAATTAAATAACCGAGAGATACGTTATATATTTCCACAAAAACTTTGGGAACATATTTTGCTGAATAAATTATTTGTTTCTGTAAACAAAAGAGCTTTGTCTCGGTAGTCGTTAAAAACAGCCAGCGTACCGTGAAAATGTCTTGGAGAAGTTTTGGAACATTTGCAGATAATTCTATAGTTCTATGAGCATTTTGCGAACTATGGAATTGAATTGGATTGTTTGGATCGCTCCAATTCTAATGTTAAGACATATATAATATTCATAATATTATCGTAATCAACAACCTTATGTTGCTAAAAATACGGTACCTATTGTTTATACTTATCTATTACATCTTTAGAAGCAGTGCAGCGCTGCCGAGGCACTCTCGCTGCGCTTGCTCGGCTCGTGCAGCTTTGTCATATACAAACCTAAACCCATAGGAGGAGATCGAACCAACTAGGAAATGCAAACATTTCGGTTCAGTCGTCATTGCACTTAAACACTACTGGAATTATATTTATAATACATTATACTCAGTGCATGTTACATCTGAAGTGTTTATATAAAAGGAACATTATGTGATCGGTATATTAGTTTGAAAGTTGTTATATCAATCGTCTATTTTACCGAGTGTACTTCATATCATGCAAGTGCAAGAATATATCAAATGTCTATATACCATAAATTAATTATATCTATCGAGCGTTATATCGATAAAAATATGTCATTTGTTGTTATATATTACGAACCGCACGCGTGCAGGCCCTTGTGAAAAAGTTCGTCCAGGGAAGTAATAGGTAAGGTGGCACCTATTTCTGCCGCCAAGCAGTAATGTGAGCCTTTGAGCGTTAGCGCTCTACGTTCGATTTGTATCAGTTCGAAATGTCATAGGGTTCATTTTATCTCTAGGTAAACTTAGTGCACATGCGACATTCGAGATTTGGAACGAATGGGATGCAGCGCGCAAACGCGCTTATTGCGATTCGATTGTGAAGGGTGCTGGTGAAATCACAGGACCATGACTTGTCCACTTATGTCTCAGGGTGACAGGCATAGTAGCAGTGCCCCTCAGATCTTTGCGATTTAAAGCTCTGAGTGGCACTGTAACTGTTATGGATAGGCGTGAAGTCACTTACCACCTGGCCCACGACATGTTCGTCTTATTACTTGATACCATAAAAAAGATCTAATATTTTTGTTACAAGTTGTTTTTTATGAAATAATGGGACCGACAATTACGCCTATATTTTTACGAAATTCCATTTGCCTTGAGTACCCGTCTCTACCTACTCTACCCGTCTAGCGGCCATAGTTCCTTGATCTGATCAAACACCAGCATGAGAGAAGCTGTTCGTCCCGTCACTTGATGTTATAAAAAAAAGCTCTCAACGCGGCCACAGACAGCGCATTTAAAGTAGCAACTTACTACTCAAATTCAATAAAGAGGTACCACTTAAATAAAAGAAATTTCGAAAGGATAAGAACAACTCATTGAGAAAGGGGTCCAACAAATTAATTAATCAGTATTACCAATTACACTTAGCAATATAAATGCCTCGTAATACGTAGTCATGTATTAGAGAAGGGGAAGTACAGCAACTTAGAAAATCAGATTTACCAAGCACTCTAGCCATTGTAATAGCAAAGAGCTCTAACAGAATTATCATAAAATCATCCACTAACCACAACGAAGACATGAAACTTGCATTATGCAGAACATTAAAGCTGCATTGCTTGCATTCTGCACCCCTGGGACGGATTTGAAGCTAGGGACGCTGGAAGGTGATTTGTGATATCCATAATTTTCTTTCCTTATTTATTGGTTGGTACGAATATTTATTACGTTTTTTTTTACTTTACAGCGCAAGTATAGTGAGGAATTAGGGTTTTAGCAGTGCGAGCATACATTACTTCATAGTATTTAAAGTACATAGCACCTTTAATAAATCTGAAGCCCAATCGCGCTAAATAGCAACGTAAAAACCGAAGCTAAACCAAATATAAAACACTGTCAAAGTGACACGTTGTGTACATTTGCAATTTGCGCTAATATTTTAACGTTCGAACTACATACGTATCGTTGAGGGAACCTATTTACCTTTGACACGCAAACGTTTCAATTTTATGTCACAGGAAAAACCAAAACTGTCAATGTTACACGTTTTATAACATTTGCTATCGCGCATACGTTTTAACTACATATGTATCGTTGGAAACGTATTAACTTTTGACAGGTAAACGTTTCTGTTATAGCTTATAGAAAGTCAGGTGTCACTATAGAGCTTCCGTGAAAATCAAGTTTTTTTTAATTCGACTGTATTTTTTTGTGTGTATGCTACGCGATAACTCCGACATTAGTGAACTGACTTCTATGATTCTTTTGTATTTAAAAGGGAGTACGTCATTAGTGGTCCCATTCTAATTTAAAGAAAATATGTCGCCTTCAAGAATGGCAAATTAAGACATGAATGCGTAGTTTATTGGATTTCAGCCACTTTCCGTTAAATGATTTTAATAAAACTAGCCAATAGATGTAATTCCACAAATTTTTGAGGAAGTTTTTTTATGTAAAAATAACAACAACATTTTTAAAATTGACAGAGTATAATATACATGCGACAATTCGTTTATTTAGCAACCTATATATTTATTTTTCTTTTAGAACATTTCCCCACAGTAGCTTCTCAGTAAGTGCACGGATTATAACCCTAGTCATCTCAGTAAATAGTGTTTTCGTCTACCCTCTAAGTCGGTTGGTATTCGGGGATTTGAACCGACAGTAGTAATGAATAAATAAAGATCAATATTATGTTGAGAGATTTGCCGTGGAAATTGCTTTCGATTTATTGTTTCTATTTGAAAACATCCCGGGTAGCCTAATGGTTTGACTTACCGTCTCTCAAGCTGATAGTCATAGGTTCGAATCCGTGCTTGTACCTCTACCTTTTTGGAATTTAATTTGAAATTTACCACAAGCTTTATGGGTTTTGTAGGCGTTCAGTTAACGGAAAACGGGTGAAATTATCACCCCCAATTTGCTACCCTTATGGTATTACAACGTTGGTAACGTCAGTGAAAATATGTGAAGTTTCTAATCTGAAATAGGCCCCCATGGTAAACCCTCATCAGAGGACACCCGAGTCTAGTAGTGCGATCTTATAGTTCAGAAACTTTTGCACAAAAGATTACGAAAATTTTATCAGTATTGAGTGAATAATAACTACTATATGACCTAAACCATCTCTTTAGAAAAGACCCATGTCTAGTTGTGGGATCTAATCGCACCATGGGTATAATAAGTCCACATCTGCAAATACGCCTGTCCATAACGGTTGCAGTGACACTCAGAGCTTTTTATAGCAAAGTTCCGAGGGGCAATGCCATTGTGCTCGTCGTCCTGAGACATAAGTTGACAAGTCCCATGTTCCTGTAATTTTACCAACACTCTTACCCTTCAACACCGGAACGCAGTAATGCCCACATTACTACTTGGCTGCAGGCATAGGTAAGGTGGCAGTGCTTTCCCGGACGAACTCTTTCACAAGGAGCTCTCTTACTAAAATGGTTTTATCGTACCAAGTATGATAAACATATTGTTTTTATCATACCAAGTATGATAAACATGTGGTTTTATCATACCTAGTATGATAAACATATTGTTTTTATCATACCATGTATGATAAAGAGTGCGTAATATTTTAGATATTTTTTGCGGGCTTGAACATCACAACTCACGAAATTTCTATGGTAATCGGATGAATAAGTATAGAATTGGTACGGGACAAACATACATTTATTTTTATATGTGCATGTTGATGACTACATGCTAATTCTTTATTGTCTAAAACGTCATGTGCAATATTAGGTAAACGCTATAGGTCACATTACTAACCAGAAGCCTTAGGTGAACCGGTGATCTCGTCTACCCTATATTCCCATTAACATCAGATCTGAGTGGATTGAGATGGCAGTTAATTAGATGTTACTGTCGGTTAACAGTCAGGGTACAGTGAACACTAATGTATAGAGAGTGTAACTTGGTTTAAGAGTCGATAGTACCTCAGCACGTATTTAAATTTTTACCGTACTGAATCGGTTATATTGCGCGGGGTGAACACCAGAGACACTGGCTTTATTTCACAATTTAATTTTTTTACTCATTTTTTCAATCATTGGTATATGTAAAATAAGTACCTATTGAATACAGAGGTTGTCTTGTAAAATTTCGAGTTAATTTTGTGTTTTTTTTTTCTGTCGTGAATATTTTTAGGAATCTGTTTTTTTTCACGTCGTTTAAAGTAAATATCAAATTCAAATTCAAATTCAAATTCAAAATAATCTTTATTTCATAGGTAAGCATTATTACACTTGAAATCGTCACAATGGTCAAACTCTACCGCTCATTCGTAAGGCAGATTCCCCTGAGAAGAATGAGCAAGAAACTCAAGGGGTTGCTCTTTGTAAATAACATTTACAATATTTTTTTATTTGAAACATCAGATTGAGACTACCTCCATAAGCTAAACGGGTTACTACCACGGATTTTTGTCATCCAAGTACGCAGAAGTTGTATAATAACCTTTAGTATAAAGTTTTTGTTTCACTATAGTTTTAAACCTCGTGAAAGGCAAATTTTGTATATCAACCGGAATCTTGTTATAGAAGCGTATACATTGCCCCTTAAATGATTGTTTGACTTTGTGAAGACGACTATCAAGAAAAGCTAGTTTATTTTTATTCCTCGTATTAATGTTATGTCTGTCACTATTTTTCATAAAGAAATTACTATTCCTTTTAACATAAATTATATTTTCATAAATGTATTGTGAGGCTAGTGTAAGAATGTTAATTTCCTTAAACTTATCTCTCAAAGATACTTTGGGGCCCAGATTGTAAATTGCCCTAACTGCACGTTTCTGCAGGACAAAGATTCTATTGATATCGATATTGATATCAGTGTAAATCCTTATTTTTACTGTATGTTTCTTCGAAAGTGTTTGATTCAACTTTTCACTGTTATGCGGAACCAACCAAAGCCAGCAGAGGTTTTATCACTCTTAACAAACTCAGTTGAAATTAGTTATTGGTTTAAGGGTCGTATTCTAGAACTCTACTCAATGCTCAAGTCAGGATTTGAGCAGACTTGAGTATGATTTCAATCACTGGAAATACGACCCTAATGGCAAGGACTTGAGTATGATTTTCAGTGCTCACTGCAATACTCAAGTCCTGACTTCAGTATTGAGTAGAGTTCTGGAATACGACACTAGGTGTATTTATAAAATCAGTCGAATAATACTATTACTAATAATAAAATTAATGAAAAAAACAGTTAAAGTGGTGACGCAGTGACCGAGAAGCACCAGTGTTCATATCTTTTTTAAATTGATTTCTAATAAGATTTTGACAATTTTTTATTATAGTAGCACGTTTCTTATTGGCAAAGTATTATTTTAGATGCAGTAGAACTGCTTGTGAAATTGTTCGTCCAGGAAAGCATTGCCACTTTACCTATCTCTGCCGGCAAGCAGTAATGTCAGCATTACTGTGATCTGGTTTTGAAGGGTTAGGGTTCTGGAGAAATTACAGGCACATGTAACTTCTTCCTTTATGTCTCAGGGTGACGGGCATAGTGGGAGTGCCCCTCAGATTTTTGCGATTTAAATCTCTGAGTGGCACTGCTAATGGACAGGCGTGTCGCTGAACACCAGGCGCATGACTTGTTCGTCCTGTCACTTAGTATAAAAAAACTTTTAGTAATAAAACAGTATATTCCGCTAACTAAAAAATTTGGTACCTCATTGAACCATTTTCATTGTCCACTGGCCCTAATTGACGAATGAAGTCATTACATTGTTTTCTTATAACAAAATTTTGCAGCTGTTTCATGTTCCCACGGAAGAAAAAAAAACAATGAAATTGCCTTAAGCCTTAGAAATCTTGATAATGATTGGTCGAAACTTCAAATTTAAAAAGTAATACCAAATTCTGAATTGTTAATAAAAATAAAATAACTTTATCTTGTTGGCATATCGATGAAACTTCAATACCTATTATTGCAAGTTACGGCGTTTTGACATTATATTGAAATTTCAATCAGTGTGCTGCCATCTAGTGGTTAGTTGCTGAACAACGACGAATTGGAGTTATATAATAATTAGTTCTCCAAAAAAGAAGCGACCATATTGCAGGGATATAGCTTTATTTTCGTTTCTTGTAACAAAAACAATATTTCGATAAACAGAGAATGCTTGTTGATGATATGAAATACCACTACAAATAATATTTTTGGTGCCGCTATCATTTTTGCACTCCAAAATAGCTCAATAAAAAAGGCATTTTGCTACAATATGCGAAAGAATTGACACAACCATACCGTACAAAATCAAAATGGCGGACTGAGCTCAAAAATAGGTCTAACAACGCCCACTGTTGACACGCGTGAGACGTAACTACTTCTACTGTATTTGTTGTTCTGTGCATGCTTTCTTAAACGATTGCTTGACTCTAAGTACTACATACAAAATGAAACCTATAAGCATATCTAATAGAATCTCATAGAAATACTAAGCTAGTCCAACAGTTTACCATAGATTTTGGCTCTCACCACAAGCTTAGGCAAATGTATTCAACCTGTAACTAAAGACGACATCCAATAGGATCCTGTCCGGCTTAACGAGAAGCTAGACGTCCTAGGAACTGTAGTTAGACCTAAACTGATAGTTGACTTTGAACAAGATTGGACAGCTGTACTGAAATGTCCTGGATTTGATATGACGGTTGCTTTGAGCGACTGAGAATATTACGAAGTGGATGTTACTGACTATAGTGGTTTTTCAAATGTACTGATTGTCACATTTGAATTTGCAGATAATGCATAACGATCAACGATGTGTTCTATTGTGTATTTCACAATAGATGTAAACAATTTGTTCTTCTTGCCGGAATCGCAAAAAAAGGGGATTTGGGTTTATCATGAAAATGTTAGAAATAAAACACAATTTTTTCGGATCTAAGTGGCACTGCAACGATTATTGTTTTTGGTTTTCAACAACTTTCTACCGTACCGCCATCTATGAGAAATCTGTGAAAGTTTTTTACTCAACTAGGTACCTTTACAGCTAGCGGAGGTTGACCAGTGATGTCACTTTTTGAAATGAAATATTGATTTTGTTGAATTACTTCACTAGTTTGTTATAATTATTAATACAAAGATCGAACACAAAGAAAAATTATTTATTTCTGACAGCACATATTAGAAGATATATTAAAGAAGATAAATGCAACAGGTTAACGAGTTTTTCATTCATCATTCTCAGTAAGTGGCATAATTAGCAAAACAAAAGAGAAGCTAAACAAGGACCCACCATCTTTCTTTCCGCGTTCATTTGGCCAGCCATAGCTGCAAGCGGGCAGCAATAAAACACCAATTAATAAAGACACGCCATAGTTACCCTTAATTGAGAAACGTCCTACAAACTAAATTATATATAGATATCAAACCAATTAGTTCATAGTGTTGTCAAAATTAATATTCATATTTTAACGTTATTCAAATTTCATCTCTGTCTTTGCCTAATCGAAATTCCGTCCAAAAACCGTCGATAGCCTCAAGGCGAGTGTCAGTTTCATTAAATTTATGGTCTTATCGTCCGGTAGGTATGCTTTTGTAAATTAATCGAATTTGAGATGGTTTCGTGGTGCTTTTAAATAGAGCTATGATGATATCGATAGTCTGTACCTTCTTTATCTTCTTAGGATTTTGCGCCTGTTACACATTGGGAATTAAATTATTTTTATTTTTATATCTTATTTCCTCTCAATAAATTTAATTTAGTAAACAACAAATATTGTTATAATGAAATATCTTGCAAATTCTGTATAGCGAGAATTGAAATGTTCCTTGGTTAATTAAAAAATAAGGTATTGATTGATTTTATTGAATATGATAATGTTGTTAAATTACTCCACCAGTTTGTTGTAATTACTAATATAAAGATTGAATATAAAGAAGAAATCCTTCGATCTGTCTAGAGTCGAACCTGTATCTACAGGCCAATCTAGGGCAACCGATCTACCAACTGACCTTAGATCCAATCAGCTGTCTTTACGAATTTGCCTGTGTTTGTTACAGATCTTTTGTATTGGTTTTTCGGCTTTTATTATTATTTATCTCTTGAGTCTCATCTTTTATATCGATAGCACACTTTGATGTTTGCTAGAGCTGTCCCTTAAGGTTCAAATTCCACGATAATTAGTCCTTCGTCGTTTCAATCAAGGGTCAGATCCTTGCGGTCTGTCTATCCGTTCGTCCGTAGAAATTGACGCTTGGCTACACCGTCCGCCTACGGTTTCCTCGAAGAGAATTCAAGGAATTACCAATGAATTTAATTTTAAGGGTAAAATATCTGGTTGTAATTAGGTTTTAGTGTAGAGTTTGTAAACTAGGGGCTGTTTCTGATGTGTGGTTGGAAGAATTTCGAAACGTGTAATTTTAGGAATTTGAATTGTTTAAAGTATGTAGAGAGATTATTAAATGTGTGAAGAGAGATTAATGTTAACTAATTGGGAAATTTTTGTACATGGTGTAAGGGTATGTATGGGGTGTGCAAGGTATCTACTCTAAAGAATGCTAACTGTGACTTTTGATAAACTGGAGTTAGTAGAAGTACTGCCACCTTACCTATTTCTGCCGCCAAGCAGTAATGTCAGCATTACTGTGTTCCGGTTTTGATGGGTAAGGGCGCTGGTGAAATTACAGGCACTTGTCAACTTATGTCTCAGGGCTACGAGCGGAGTGGCAGTGCCCACAAGATCTTTGCGATTTATAGCTCTCAGTGACACCTGATCCAGGTTTACGCCGTGGCATTATGATTGAGAGTCTCTATCTACGAGACGATAGACGATACCATAGATTTAAAAAAAGTATAAATTATTGCGTAATAAAATAAATAAATAAATAAATAAAGGATGCGTATCCTTGGTATGATAAAACCATGTGTTTGTCATACTTGGTATGATAAAACCATGTGTTTATCATACTTGGTATGATAAAATGATTTTAGTAGCAGTAGAGTGAAAGAGTTCGTCCGGGAAAGCACTGCCACCTTACCTATGTCTGCCGCCAAATAGTAATGTGGGCATTACTGCGATCCGGTTTGGAAGGGTAAGGGTGCTGGTGAAATTACAGGCACATGGAACTTGTCAACATATGTCTCAGGGTGACGGTCACAGTGGCAGTGCCCCTCAAATCTTTGTTATTTAAAGCTCTGAGTGGCACTGCAACAGTTACGGACAGGCGTGTAGCTTACCATCAAGCGGATGACTTGTTCGTCCCGTCACTTCATATTATAAAATAAACAGTTTAGACGGTAAACATCGAAGTAAATTTACTTTCTTTGTAAACAACTTACAAAATTGTGATAAATTTGATTATTCATAAATGTATTTACCCAATCCCATTTTAGTAACATCTTTTTGGTTAATGATGGATTATTTGTATGGAATACTTAAATGTTATGTAATTCTTCTTCTGTCAGCAAATTGTATATATGTATTGTGTGAATACAGTTCGCATTATGATGAAACTTACCTTAGTGGTTAAACCACTAAATGCGACCAGAAATATAGTGTGTATTATGCTTTACATGGTAAATAAATTTGAATAAAGTATCTTTTTATTATAAGTAATACAAAGTTCAAAAAAATAAGTAGCACGTGTTTGGCAGATGGAAGTAACCACAAGTCTATTCTATAGATTTTACTATTCTATACATTTTGTTTCAAATAAGTTTTGCCTTATTTTACTTACGCGCTTATAAGAGCAGCGGTAGAACAGTGGCTTCTAAATCGGAAGTCCGACATTTCAAGTAAGTTTAAAAAAAAACTTTGGCAAAGACTAATAATAAGTGTAAAAATGGTGAGCAAAGCAAGTTTTTCGTATTTACAATACGAACTTTGTTTAAGTTTAAGCAGGAAATTACTTGCTCAAACTAAGGCAAAGTTTGTATGTAATTTTCGCTAGAATAGGGATTTCTACATTGGGAAATCGACATTTCATGTATCTGCGACTTAAATAAAACTCTAAGACTAGTGTAAAAATGGTGAGCTAAGAAAGGTTTTCGTATTTACAAAACAAACGTTGCTGAAGTTTAAGGACGAAATTACTTGTTTACACTTCGGCAAAGTTTGTTTGTAATTTTTGCTAAAATAGTGACTTCTAAATCGGGAGCTCGACATTTCATGCACCTGTGACTGTAAAACAAAAATTTGACTAAGACTAGTGTAAAAAGTGCTAAAATAGTGACAATACTAACTTTGCTTAACTTAGGCACAGTTTGTTTGTAATTGGTGCTTATCAACCTAAATTAGGTGCAATGCCGCCATTAGTTGAACGCTTACGGCCCAACGCTCCTTATTAGGACGTACTTTAAATTCCTGTAGTTAAGAAATCTATTGTGAAAATTTTATATAACCATTACCTGTATGTATATTCTCTCGTATTTACTTCACCAAATATAACTTACAATAAAGCATCAATATTGCGCAGTTGCTCTATAAAGCTTCAGCTTTTCAGTTCAGAGATTTTCTTTCAAATGAAATTATCCTTACCGTCCATGGCTTCCTGATCGCCACGAATTCCTTCATATTGGATTAAAGTAAAGCAGATTATGGGGTTTAGGACTATGGACCGGTACTGGGACGTGCTGTAATTGCTTATTGAATTATTTATAACTGGGGTATGTTAAGGGTAAAATTTTCGAACGAAAAATGTCCGAATTTTATGTAGTATAAATTCGACGATCTTGATGGTCGAACAATTTGAACTATGGCCACTTCATAATGAAGACCTAGGTACTATTACGGATGCTTTTTTAATGATTCTGGCTTTGGTGGACCTTGTAGGGCCCCGAAAGATAACTTCGTTACTCCAGACGTACTACAAGGAAGGTCCTAGTTTCAGACAAAATATAATTTCAGTACAGAGTACTAAAAAAAACCGACCTTAAAAGTAATTCATCCCCTAGTTTGCCACCCTTAGAAGTGGAATATTTTCTTCAAATTTAAATGGGACCAATACTAAGGTCCTTGCAACAAAAAATAATCATCAAAATTGCTTCACAAATTGGCAGTTATCACGTAACATACAAAAAAAATACAGTCGAATTATGAGCATCCTCCTTTTCTAAAATTGGTTAATTATTATTCGGTATATTGCAATAATAATAAACTCGTTATAATAGATTTTTTTTTATAAATAGTGAGTTAGTAAAAATGGCGGCGAAAAAATCGAGTCCTAATAGTTGCAAAGGATTTACATAAAAACCTTGTTCTAATGAACGTGCGGTTTATTTTTAAAGACACGAGTCTAATTTGTTTTAATGTCAAAATCATTGTCAGATGTGTAAAACTCATTTATACATAAAAAATGTTATACAGACATAATACAAATAATAATAATAATAATAATAATAATAATAATAATACAAATGGTTTATTAATATTTTGTACCAATTGGGAGGCGTTCTATTTTAATAGGGCTACCCAAAGATCAAAGACGTTCGTGTTATTTCGTGGCTGCAGTTAAAAATTAAAAGGGACAATAATAATAATAATAATTAATTAATATTTGGAATTTGATCTAAAATACATATAATAATGATAATAATATAGTTTATTTCCTTCACACACAAGTCTATAACAATACTATAACATTATGTTGGAAAAGGGAACACTTTCATTCATTATTGCCATACGAAAGTTTGTTAACAATAGTTTTTAAAGTTATTTACTTAAT